TAGAAGAAGATTACGAATGGGGAGAGTGGCTATGAAAGAACTAGAAAAAAATCTAAATAAAAAAATATACAACTAAATACAAAAGTGAGAACCATACAAGCCATTTTTTTCCCTACTATGTATGGATGTGAGAGCTGGACACTGAAGAAAGCGGACAGGAAAACCCCCAATGCATTTGAGATAATGTGGTGCTGGAGAAGAGTGCTGAGGATCATGTAGATGGCCAAAAAGACAAACAAATGGGTCCTAGAGCAGATCAAGCTAAAGATCTCCCTGGAAGCCAAGATGACCAAACTGAGGTTGTCGTACTTTGGACACATCATGAGATGGGAGGACTCACTGGAGAAAACAATAATGCTAAGAAAGGTGGAGAGAAGTAGAGAGGAAGGCCAGATGCTAGATGGATGGACTCTATTGAGGAGATCACGGGTATGAGTTTACAGGACCTAAGCAGAGCAGTAGAGGATAGAGTCGCCATGGGTCGAGATTGCCTTGAGGGCAGTTAACGACAACAACAAATGCTGGCATACCCTCTAATTATGTTAATGGAAATCATCAAGACATCTGCAGCCTTACATGTTATTATAATAATGTATAAAGCCAGTATTCAAAGAGACTAATCTTTGAGACTAACTATGCAAAACAAGGGCACATAACTTTTTGTAGACTTGATTTACTTTCTCAGATGCATCTAGTTTAATTATAAAGGACCTTCCTGGGCACCAGTTCACTCCATGAATTTGAGGAGGTAGACCAAGTTTATGAAAGCTGGTGCTATAACTTCTTTTGCTCAGTTAGTCTCAAAGGTACTCCAAGATCTCTTTGCATACTGATGTTCAGGCTATGTTTCTGAAGAAAGCCAGTAGTTTTCTTTTGCCTACCGCTACAAGGCAAATTGATGTCTGAATAAAGAGTTCAATTTTTAAGGGAATCATAGAATCATAGAATCTGCTTCTTCCCCTCCCCAATGCTCCTTGTTTCTTACATCCTCCATGTCCATCCCACATTCCTCCAAGAAGGAGCTCAACAGCACTCCTGCTGCCTGAGAAATAGACTTGTCTTCATGTGTGAGGCTTTCTATCGCCTTGAGCACCACGTCTGTGATCTGGTTGCTGTTGAGATGCTCACCAAAAGCCTGAAACAAAGGAGAAAACATCAGTGCACCCAAGAAGTTTCCTTCTTCACTCAGCTTATTTGCAATCCAAATGTCCCTTTGCATGTTATACCAAGGTCCAGAACATCATCACAGAAATAATCCAGTTTAAGACTGCTTTAACTGTCCTGGCTCAGTGCTAGGGAGTTCTGGGAATTGTAGTTTATTGTGGCACTAGAGCTCTCTGATAGAGAAGGCTAAATGTCTCTCATAAAACTACAGTTCTCAGGATTTCCTAGCATTGAGCCAGGGCAATTAAAACAGTCTTAAACTGGATTATTTCTGCAGTGTGTTTTGGACCTGATAGGTCTGTGAAATAGGCTCCCTCATGTGTGTAGGACATAGCCCTCACATCTGCTCCACAATATTTGAAATGGCAGGATACAGCGTGTTTTATCGAGCAGGTGACTCTTCATCCAGAGACATACATTCTTGCAACCCAGGGACGGGCATTGTGTGGCCCTCCAGATCTTGGTGGACTCTAACTCACCATTGGCTATGCTGACCAGCCCTGCAAGGAGTCGAAGGTCACCAATATCTGGCAAAACACACAATTCCCATGCAGCAGCGGATTATGGATCTGCAAGTGTTTCTGGCCTGGCTTCTAACACAGTTTTGGAAATACGTCAAAGGTGTTAGTATGAATGACAACCATGCTGAACCCAAGTAAAATGCATCTTTTAAAGTGGAATGAGGTGGTAAATGTTCATCTTTCCATTCCACAAACAGAAAGTCCATTAGAATTATTTTTTGCAAAAACCTTAACCTGGTTCTGAGCACCAGATAATAGTAGATATAGGGAATTAATGGAATACATGCCCTAGTGGCACAGTGGTTAAATGCCAGTACTGCTGCCAGAAAGTTCGATCCCAGGGCTCCAGGTTGACTCAGCCTTCTATCTTTTTGTAGGTTGGTAAAATGAACACCCAGCTTGTTGGGCGCAATTGGCTTACACATTGTAAACCACTTAAAGAGTACTGAGTTTACTGTTAAGTGGTATAGAAATGTAAATGCTATTGCTATGGCTTTTGCTGCATGCAAGTGTTGACCTCTCAGCATTCTTCTCTATTGTGTATGCTGAGTATGTAAAGAGATCTTGCAGCACCTTTGAGATTCACAGAATCCTAGTCTAACAACCAAACTGCTACACTACTTTGGCTCTCGCACTGTCTCTCTCATTCATAGGGTCACCATAAATCAAAGCTGACTTGATGGCAATTACAACAAGACGTCAGCAGATGGATGGAGGGCCATGTGATTTCTAGCCCTCATTTAGGTCTCAGTGTCCAACAGCTAGCTGGGCCTTCAACAAAGGAAATTATCGCAGCGCTAATAAAACCGGCTTACCTGAACCAGCTTAAAATTTAAAATGGATGGCATTGTGATGTTGTCAGAAGGATTTGCCCACTGAAATTGCCACCTGGGTCCAGCCTGGGTCCATCACCACTCTGAGAGCCACTCCGGCAGCCATTTCCTTAAGTCGGAAAACTCCC